GATGGTGCCCAGTTTTGATCGATCAGGAGGCGCTAAGAGCAGATCGGATAAGCAAGGCATTAGTATATACGGTGAGGTGCCAATAGGCTTTTTTAAAATACCTAAACTTAATACTCTGACTCTTTTACGGTTATATATGTCAGCCCACGTATCTTCAGCTACTATACATTATATCTTGACCAAGTTCTGGATAGTACAAGCCTCGCAGTTGTGAGAAAAATTGTTTCATTGGATATGTGATGGCGATCAATAATCGTCTCTACAACCTGTCAATGCCACCATACAGATACGAGAGCTCATACTCGGTGAACAAAGACCTGAAGCGATAATTCCCTGGAAATCAACTGGTGATAACGATTCTTAACCGTTCTCTTGTTAATGATGATCGGAAAATTCACTGAAAACTATCGTTTTCGTACTATCCTATTGGATAGGCAGACGCACCAAAAAGACAACTAGCCGGTTAGTTTTTTTTAGAATATACACTGTGTTTATTAACATATATGGGTTTTGGATCGTTAACAAGGTGAAGCATTAGGAAAAATTTCATGCAATGGATGGAATATCGCTTCTCACCTTTTACAGATATGGGAGTTTGGATCGTTACAAAGGTGAGTTGGAAAAATTTCAACCTATGGATGGAGTATCGGATTTTACCTTATAGAATACTATGGAATTTTGATCGTTACCAAAAGCTGAAGTTGGAAAATTTCAACTATGGATGGAATAATCGTATTATACGTATATATGGAGTTGAATTCATAAGAAAGCTGAAGTGGAAAAATTTCATGAATGGTGGGAATATCTATTTAAATAGCCTCAGTAATACAGGCTATATGGATCTTGATCGTTTAGGTACAAGTTGGAAGATGAGAAAATTTTCATAGTATATGGCGATGGAATCTCGGCACAGTACCTGTTTCACTTATCGACACAAGTATCACGTCTCTCTCGAGATTGATTAGATCATAAAGACTTATTTTTTGCTTTCTGCCAAGTTTGGTGGGATAAAAACTTGTACAATATGAATGAGATTGGTAAATCATCATTTGGCTATATATATCTTCCATCCTCTCGGTTGATCGTTACAAATAGACACGAAAGTTGAAGGACAATTTCATGTAATCTCTCTCATCTTCTCTC